CCTAAACCCTAAACCCTTAAAGGTCCGGGAGCGCTCCGTCTCTGCCGCCCCTACCACCGCTGATGAACCAGAGCCGGGGCTCCGTGCGAAGCCGGATCTCCATCTTCTGAGAGGGGTGTTAGGGTTTATGGTTTAAGGCTTTAGGGCTTTAGGGTTTAGGGTTTTAGGGGTTTAGGGGTTTAGGGTTTAGGGTTCTCTTAGAGCTTTAGGATTTTGGGTTTGAGGGTTTGAGGGTTTTAAGGTTGAAGATTTAGGGTTAAACCCTAAACCCTAAACCGTTTAGGGCTTTCAAGTTTAAGGTTTAGGGGTTCTTTTAGAGCTTTCGGCTTCTGGGTTTAGGGTTTAGGGGTGCTCTTAAGAGCTTCAGGGCTTTGGGTTCGGGGTTTGGCGTTCTTCAGAGCTTTAGGGCTTGGGTGCTTGGGGTTTCGCGGTCAGGGTTTAGGTGAGTTCTTAGAGCTTTAGGACTTGAGGGTCTGCGAGTGTTTCTTAGAGCTTTAGGGTTTCGGTTAGCATGGCTTGGGTTAGCATAGAAACCTGAATAATTACCAGCTGCCAGTTCTTCGTGGGATGCCTTAATACTTTTATGGTAAAGTAAAAGCCACAAAGCCCTACTTGGAGGATCATGGGACTTAGTAAGTAAGGTTATACGTCCCCTAGTTCGGGTTATAAGTATAGTTACCTTAGTTATAACCCTACTTACTAAGTCCCATGAACCTTTAAGTATTCATGATTGTCAAACACCCTGTCAGATTGGGTCATGCTTCCTGACTTTTTTTTGGCGCGCCACGGCAGTCTGAGCTGCACAGCATTCGCTTTTAACACCTGGATGCAAGGATCTGGTAATATGAGGGCGCACTTGGGGGAGCGTCTTGCAACCAACAAGCCCTAAACCCCATATAATAGCCTGAAAGCCTAACACCCTCAAGCCGAAACCAAGCTTGGAATCCTCGGTGTCCCTGAAGTGTCAACTTGAACTCTTGCAGCTTCCTTGTTTCCCTGAAGTAGGTTCTACAAGCCCTGCGGCCTTAAATTAAACCCCGAACCCTAAACCCCAGTTGCAGCTCAGATGTGACGTGGAAGCCCGCACAAGAGCTCTCTCCGGGGACAGGAACAAGTTTTGAACCTCTGCCCTTTCTTCAGCTTATGGGGTTTTGCAGAACCTGTGCTGAATAGAGCCATACTCACTTCTCAGGCCCCTCTACTGCGTGCAAGTGCGGCCTCCTTGGATATGAGTCA